GTGTGTGTGTGTGTGTGTGTGTGTGTGGTTTCAACGTTTGGCTGGATTGCAACTAAACAATTGCTTCTTCTTTCCCCTTCTGTGTGTGTGTGTGTGTGTGCGTGTGTGTGTGTGCATGAATTGGTGTGTATATTTGCTGTGGGATGCAAATAAAAAACACACCACTGCTGTAGTTGTGTGTTCTTTTCTTTGTATTATCCTTCATCCTGATCAGAACCTCAGTGGTTATGTGTGGTTTCAATCAGTTCCAGTCATTACTGAGCTACTACTGCGTTGTCTCCACTGACTCCGCTCTGCTGAACATTATTCTGCTCAGTTGCTCTTCACCTCATCTCATTGTGTCTTCTTTCCATTTCTCTACACTCTTATCTTTATGTTTTTAGAGATGAGTCAGCAGGGTGTGAATATGCGCACCCATTTCTTTTGTGTGTCTGAATAGTGTGCTTTCAAGAAGGGCTGCAACTGCAACGATCATTTGTATTAATGATTCATCTTACAACAATTAATCAATTAAGAATTCAGTCCATAAAATATTGAACTACCCTTCACAATTTCCAGGAGCCTGAGCTCAGTAAATGGCAAAATTTCTTATTAACAATAAGGAAAATGCAGCTCAATGCAGCTCAAAGCCATGACTTTTCAGTATTAGACATAGTTGCAGCTGAGCATTCTTTTGCTATGTGATGAAATGTTGACCTCAGTAACTCATCTCAAGCATTTTGAATGATGTTTGCTCATGTCTGTCAGCATTGGATGAGGGCACATATGTACTGTATGTCTTTGCCAAAGGGATGTACACATCTGAGACCTCTTTTCGTACACACAATAACACACACTAATACTCCTTGAGAAGTTGCTTCTAAAGGAGAGTTATAGAAGCTGTAGAGACAGGCTTGAGGTGGTTTGAAAGGCAGCAGGTAAACTCAGTTCAGCTGCCTGCTCTCTGTGAACCAACACTCCCCCTCAGAGATCGTACCCAAAGGAGCAGCAGGCTGCACTCCGCCTCGGGTGATTCAGGATATGTCACATGATTTGCCTGCTCATATAACTGGGATGTGTGTGTGTGTGTGTGTGTGTGTGTTTTTGTGTGTGTGTGTGTTTGTGTGTGTGTGTGTGTGTGTGTGTGGTGCTGTGTTTATGCAAACCATTGCCCCTATGTGATCCATATGTTTTTGCTTTAATGGTTAACTGTTTGTTTACTAGGATACTGAAATTCCTCTGCATCACCCCTTTAGGGCCACTGACACGTGTACATACACCAAACTACAAGCACACTTACACACACACACACACACACACACACTCATACACACTCAAGTATGTACAAACCAATACACGTATTCACCCACACGTGTAAACACACAGCCAGATCTCTTCAGCGGCTCTTGATTGCTCTGGTCTGATTTGAATTAGAGGCTCATCTTTCTCAGATCTCAGAAATGGCTCTGAGGTCGAGCGGTTTGGTGGTTTGATGCTGATGCCAACACACAGTTGGTTGAAGGCCTGCTTGGATGGCACTAGGGGTTTGGTGGGGATGCGTTTAGCTCCAACAATCGTGGTTTTGAACGTTTATAGAGTGAAAGCTCTGACTGAGTCACAGGACCTACACACTTTTAACCCATAGTACTCTGCTGGCAGCAGAAGTCTAAATGAGAATACATAGCAGACTATTGAGGGGTTCAGCTGAACAGATGATTGAACACATATCCAGTGGGAATGTGCAGGTGTTATACAGATATTCAGACACTAGGTATAAGTATTTATTGCATATCTGTAACATTAATTTGTCCAACAAGGGCAGTGATAATGTCTTAATTGTTTGTCACACTTCCAAGGAGTTTGCACAATTGCCGTCTTGCTAGTTTAACTAAATCTGTGTTTCTCAGATCTAGTAGTAATGGATTCTTCTTGAAATGGTTGTTGTGAAGTCATGGGACTTTACATTGACGAAGTCCTTTCCTTTCCTGAAGTTTGCTTATTGTGGGCTGTCGTGTGGCTTTGATAATGATGTAATTGCCCCTAAAAGCAGCTTCCAGAGTATGAGAACAAAACAACATGAGAACGAGGAGGAGTATAACCGATAAATGCCACCTAAGGCGCTTTTTGTTTAAATCATATTAACTGATCTCAGTATTTTCAAAAACCTGCCAAATGTCTAAAATCGTTAGTCATATGTTGCCCGCCAGCACATGGTGGAATATTAATTCTTTATGATCCATCCTCAATATTATGATAAAATGGATACCAGCTGCATAGAACAATGGGTGATTAAAGGTAATTGATTGATCTTGATGTGTTACTTGATTAGTCATTAAATGATTAGAGAAATATAAATATAAAATAGAAACTAAATATTTAAGTGGATAATTTCAAATACATGACAACATGTATGGCTGGCTGCCTGGGTCTGTGGATGGAGTTACATATAGTACACATGTTTGTATATAGTGTTTTTCACACAGAGTCTTGTCCAAACTAATAATGAGAAAGTCTAATAAGAATGGAGAGGTGAATACATAATAATAGACAGGCATATATACTGCATGACATACATCCTATAATGCACACACATATCTCCAAACTAGACATTTGGCAGTGTCAAGGGCAACAATTCTCACTAGTGGCTTTCATATCTGAGGCAGGCTGATTGAGACTGATGGATACAACATGGGCTTTAGAAATGGCTTCCACATGCAAGACTCAAACGTCTGTGTGTGTGTGTGCGCGGGTGTGTGTATATGTGCGTGTTTGTGTTTGTCTTTGTGTGTGGAGAGAGCTGGTATTAGATATAGGAAGGTAACATGGAGTGCATGTGATTTATGTTGTGTTTGTGTACAGGTATGTGTGTGTGGGGTTTGTGTCTAATAGAACAGAAGAGCAGGAAGGTCGTGTTTATGTCTTCTCAAACATTACACAGAAATCCTACCACACAAAAATGTCTGCAGATATACACATACACACACAAACTCATGGAAATAGGCAAAATGCAAACACAAATCCTCCAATGCTGAAGACACTGTTCCTCTTCATTAAGGTGAGACCACCTTACATAACCAAATAGTTTTGATATGCTTTGTTTTCTCTGAAAATAAAGACAGTGGTTTTTCAGGGAGGCTGAGGATGCCGGGAACTCTTGATGATGTTGTGGAGTTATCCAGTTGAGCTACACAAAATAATACAACACAAATTACATTACCAACATTTTAGTGACATAATAAAGCTCCACAATTTCAATATATATTCCTCAATATGTTTTTTTATTCAGTTACCATACAGATATTATTTTCATTCATCAAATAGTATGTTATGATATCTTCCTCAATATTAAAGAAAATATTGTGACAAATAAAACTCATGCTGAGCTGATATAGTCAAGTGCTTTAGAATTTTGTTTGGGTATGTATTTTACAGGAATGATTAAGAAAAAATATCTCACAGATTCATTTGAGTTGTGATGTCCCAATATGAGAATTTTACCGTGATTTGATTATAGGAAAAGACAATTACTAATGATATTGAAATATAGTACTACAGTGATATCTTAGTAAATCAGAACGAAAATGGTCCTGTCTTCAGTAGTTAAACTAAGTTCACTTCAAAGTGTAGTTGTATGTAAAATACAATGATGACATTTCAGCTTTATTTAAAAATGTATAAGTAGACAGCTCAGACATGTGGATTGATTTTGTAGGTGCATTTTGATTTAGCATCCAGTGAGATCAGCTGATGATCACCTTGTTGGTACTAATGAGTTCATGTTCCTGCCTGATCCTCCATAAGTACCATGTTTGCTTCTCCTCATGTGTTTATGAATAAAGCAAAGTGTTTCTTTAGCTGCTGTATAGATACCAGTCCAAAGCATCAATACAGTGTCAGTGCAGTAGTTGTATTTGGACAAACAAATATCAGAATCAGATATCTAGATTCTACCAACTACTCAGCTCATCTCTTGAAATCTTTTTTATTTCAAAGAATTATTATTTTGCGTCTTTGCTTTCACTTTGCCCAAAGCACTGTGCTTACTTATTCATTCAACTCCTACAGCTGAGATACCTTATATATTTAGCTGTAAAAGTGTGCATTAATGTACAAAGTTATGTTAAATATGTGAAGGAATTTATCTGTAAAAGTGAAGAGGGAATGTGAACTGGAGACGAAGAGTATGAGAGGCAGGGGACAGGAAAGAGAGGACAGATAGAGAAGTGAGCAAGAGTGGATAGAGTAAATAAACATAGCCGGGAAGTGTTGAGTCCACGCACAGGACGTGGTTTGGTCTGTGTGTGTGCATGCATGTGTGTGTGTGTATGTGTGTGTTTATCAAACCCAGCTGGCTCCCATTTGCCCAGGAATGAGTCTGCACCTCTCAGAGGCCCAAGCCTGCTTTGAAGGCCTCTGTGTAGTGTGTGTATATGTATGTCTGTGTGTGTGTGAGTAATAACGGCTTCATTAGAGCACTGTGTGGTACCGGTGAACACATAAAACACCCAGACGTATATACTGTATGTATATTATGTGTACATCCTCTCATGTGTTCATTTTAAACACACATACACTCTCAAACACAAACAGACACCCACGCACACACATCCCACACACACACACTTAGACCCACACAGATTTCAGGTTTCACAAGCATGCACATAGACCCCTAAACACTCCCAAGGGGTTGGATTTAACTGCTTCCAGATGCAAGTTCAGGACAGAGCACACACCAACACATACAGACAAAATCTTCTGCTCTGTTGAAGTCAGCACAACTACTCTGTTTAAATTAATTAAGTGCTGGTGGATGGGAAATGACATGGGAGTAGACAAGTTTATTACGAGTTGGAAAACAGCTTGCTGCTGATAGCTGATAATAAGAAAGAAAACTGGGAACCTGAATGACCTTCAAAATAAACTTGACATAAATATAAAACATTGTGGTCTCATAGATAACTGCTCTAATGTTTTTTGTTTTTTTAACTGTGTATCTGCGTATTTGTGTGTTTGTTTTGCAGATGTGGCCCACATATATACTGAGCCCCTCATATTAAGGTCAAATGGCACCCCAGAAAGGCTGCTAAGCAATGATGGAGACAATTGTAACAGCAGCTTCTCAAACGCGGAGCTTACAACACCAAGCAAGAGTATCACATGTGAGTAAATAGCACCCTCACACACACACACACAAACGCACACACACACACACACACACACACACACACACACACACACACACACACACACACACACACATAGAGACACACTCGCAGAGAAACTGGTGAGAGTTTTATTTCCATTACCGATCACCGGTCTGATGAGTCACATTGTCCTGACCTTTAACAAATACATTTGCACACCCTGAAGAAATAGGTCGGGTAATCATACACACAGACAGAAATATCTACATTGTCAGCTAAGTAGGTTAAGTTTCTGATTTCTGAACACAAGAGAGTTTGCACCCAAATCTCCACACCTTTCCTCCTCTTTTCCACTTTCCTCTGCATTTTATTCTCTGTCTGTCTGTCTGTCTTTGTTGAGACTGGATTGTTAGACTATCACCATGACAACGCTAGGTGAGTGTGACTGGCACTGTGGATTTTGCTTCCATTACTCAGTCTCCTTTAATTATTCAAGGTTCATTGGACATCTTGGCATCGGTCAAATAAGAATATATCCCCCCAAAGTCTCAGATTTGATCAATAGAGAGCCGAAGTCCTGATGTCACATCGTGGCGAGCTTCCACTAACTTCTGAAACGCAGTGCGACCTCTCGTTGAGGATTTCTTTCATTGGCCTCGCTGAAAAAGTAAAATGTGTTTATGGGGTTTACTGGCCAATTTCTAAAATACACTGAATGAGTATATACCCGTTTTGTAATTGAAATTGCTATTAGAATTTCAATCATTTGTATTTTAAACAAAGTAAAATAATTTTTTTCTTTTCAATTCATAAAAACTATAGCTCCCATCAGCGCAAGAATGCACATATTATACATCACCATAACTGTTTCTCCTTTATCTCCCACTCCTACCATCCCAGACACTCAGCTGGCTCCAGTCAAGCGTGTCATGTTTACAGTCTTGGGCTTGTGGGAAATGGTGTTTGTTAATGGCTGTTTCAAACAGAAATATTATATTATTTTAAAAGAAAACTTACATCCCTGTCCAGACAAATGAAATGAACCCCTGATCATACAGTCGAGCATCAGGGCTATAAATGTAAACGTCTGTGTCATTTTTGGACAAGGTTTTCTTATTGGTGTAACAGGACCCAGAATATCTTTCACTTCATTTGATGTCAGTGTTTATTCCATCTGCGAAACTAGTTTTTTAGCCAATCCACCCTAATATTGCTTCTAATTGTTGTAACATCAAATAGCTTGCTGGCAGTGGCACTGCAGTGAGAAAATTGCAGATGGAGAGATGACTGTGTCTCACATTATGTGTGCTTTATTTACACCCAGTTTTTCAAGTCTAAACTTCTTCCCAAAATCCCCAGCTGTCCAATCATTAAGCTCCCCACTGGGTGTATCACCACTTCTCCACCTCAATTTGCTGGTTAGGAGCGTCCAACACCTGAAATTTCTCTTCTTCCAGAGTTATATCACCAACCGCCACCACCCATTTCCCTCCCTCATATTACTAGTCCAGTGGTTGTGTGTCAGCCAGAGACAGACTCTCTTTTACTCTCCTTGATGTGCAGTCGCTCCAGCCCTCTGTATCAAAGCCAAAGGTTACGCAAGTATACTATGTCATTACCCCACCACGTATATTTGTCTTGCTTTCACTCTGCTTTGAAATACATAGAATCTTGAGCTAATTCTTAAACTAGTTCTACTATGTCATTTATTCACTTAGCAGACCAAGCTCCACAATACTGACACCCACAAAACTGTAGCTACGTTGTCTCGATGCTTAGCCACTAACCCAAAAGCACAGTAAAAATTTTAAATGCTCTAAAGTGGCCTAAATCTGTCCTTCCTGTCATTCAAAGAAAAGAAGGGATGGTGTATGTGAATGAGTGATAAATGAAAGGAGGAGCTGAGGGGTGAGAAGAAGGTTGCGTAAGCTGACATATAGTATAAGCATGTGTTAGAAAACAATGAGCGTTTTTCCTGGAATCCATGGCCAGCCACGGGTGACATGCACACAAACACACAAACCTGCGCCATGATAATAGCTAGTTTGCAGTAAGTGAAAAACCAGCAGTTCACTCAGGAAATGGATAAGTAGGTGAATGCAGTGTGTTTTGAGCTGAGTAGGTGTGTGAATTGTCTGCTGTCTCCATCTATGTTTGTGCCTCTACCTGTCCTGTCTGCTGCATGTGTCTATTTCAGGCCCAGGATGGAAGACTGAGAGGTTTTCGTCAGATTTTCTCTCTCTCTCTCTCTCTCTCTCTCTCTCTCTCTCTCTCTCTCGCTCTCTCTCTCTCTCGTTCTCGCTTTCTCTCAGCTTTATTTTACATCCCAATAAAATCTATGAAACCCACCAGCTCCATATGCTGTGCAGGGAGGGTTATGCAACTACAGTAGGGTTGGACAAAATGTACCGTCATGCACACCAGTCCTCACTGGCTTTCCATTTGCCTTTATGTGCCTCCTCCCTTCGTCCATAGCTTCCTCCCTCTACAACTTACACAATCGCACGTGTTCACGGGACTTGAACCACAAACTAAATGGTGTTAAGTTCTAAAATTGATCCCTTTCTCAGGTGAGCACAGACAGCTTAGCCTGTCTGCATAATTGACTGCATAACTGTCTGTCTCTTTGACTCTAGTATCCATTTGCTTTGTTTTTGTCAGTGTGAGTTGGTTTGTCTGTTTTAAGACACTATCAGCCTGCTTGCAGTTTAAATACGGTCTGTGTCATCTGCAACCGATCAATCAATTATCATCTGTTTCTTTGGATTCATAATGAGTGTGAGTGCTCATTACAAAATAGCTGCGACTCAGGTCTGTGGTGAGGTCATGGCTGTGTGACATCTGCGAATGTGTGTGTGAGAGTGTTTGTGAGTGAGAGGGTGAGCAAACAGAAGCAAAAACAGAAAATTCTTCAGCCCGTATGTTCTGTCTCGCAGTGATGACATCAGAGCTGCAGTATGTGTCTGGCTCTGGGCCTATGACAAGCTGTCTGAGAACAATGTGCAGAGAGAGCTGTTAACATGTGTGAGTGTCTGTTATGACCTGAATCGAACGCGCACGCACACACACACACATACACACACACACACAAGCACACGCTCCCTGTCAGTGATGTCATGACCACACTGCATTCTTTGACGTCACAGTCACAGCAGGACACATATGTTCACAGATGTTTAACCGCTGACAACTCTTTTGGACTCAAAAGGAAACAATGACACATGCATTCCATCACTGACAGGATCACAGTAGCTTTTATGACATTTCCACTTTGTTTATTTTTATCAGTTTTCACCAAATGAGGTAAGCATAAAGGAAATAGAAGACAGCCCATTTTTTTAATGCATGTGCGAATGAGGGCATGAAAGTGTGAGCAAGGGAAATGCTGAGTGGAGCTGTTTGTTATTATCTTGTCATCAAAGGGGAGGAGTGTGCAATGTGTTGTTAATGGGAAATCTAACAGAATTGTGACACTGCCTTTAATTAGAGACCAGTCACTGTGCTGAAACTGTTTTCCATCTCTGCTGCTCGGCATTAATTCTCTTCAGACCTTCTTTCTTTCTGTGACTCTCTTCATCTCTTTGTTGGTCGCATTTAAACACACAAAATTTGCATTTGCTATCACTTAGATAACGGTTACATGGAGTGACGTGATGGAAAGTAGGGCTGTGTTATGTCAGGGGTCATGGGTGGATGAGGTGGTTTCAAGGATTAGTGTTGCTGTGTGTCATGTTGTTCTTGCATGTTGACTGTCTTTTCCTCTTTTCTTCAAAATATAGGCCTAACTCTATCCAGATATTTGCACACTGTTTCCATTCATTTGTCAGGTGAAATTCACAAAAATGAGTCAAATGTTGCAAAAAAATAAAAAAGTGAATTAAGTGTTTTTCCGACAGCTGGGTTGAAGTGAATAAATTGTGTTTCTGAATGAAAAAAACACACACACACACACACACACAAAGAGAAAAGTAGAAGTTTTTCCAGAACTTCCAGTATTGGGCAGGTTGTTGTCATGTTTCATGTTTTCATGCAAACACAAAAACAAAGAAATGTGCTTGGCAATTTACAAAACAAAAAATCCAAAAGTCTAAACCTCATGCACATCTGTGTTTTTTCTGGTTTAGAAAAGGCTCTGCTGAAAAACATGTGCAGGCACGAATACATCAGTCAACTCGCGATCAGTCAACCCTATCTGCTGCTGAGATAGTTTGATCATATTTAGGCTTTTGTATGTAAACACTCTACAGGTGGTTCAGTATACTGTGAAATGAATTTGATGTAAGACTGTGTTAGCAAGTGTGGTTTAAGTGGTTTAATAGACTCTTCCTGTATTTTGTGATTTTAGAAAAACCTTGAAACTTTCACAGTGAGGTAGAAACAGACCAACATATACTGGCAACACAACGTGAAGCATTTCTATGATCATTTCAGGTGATGACTCATTCTGTAATTCAGAGTTGAGCCTACCTGATGTTGAGGCAGTACCTCAGGCTTGCCCACCTGTTAGATCACAACTACTGTTTCTTGTTAGAATAATAACACTATTTGGTTAATACGGCCACCATTTGAGGAAAGTTTTGGTTATTTTCAATTTTGAGTGACGGTTAGCAATCATGATGATTGATTAGGTTAAAAATTTCCTCAAATACTTAACTGAGACTTTGCCACTCCACTTTGCTAGAAGTACAGCTCTCTAGTACACCCTCAGGGGCCAAAACAAGTTCCAACAACTGAATCTCACACACAATAATAATGACAATGAGGTCAGACCTACCTGTTGTACTGTACCTCTGCCTTTGCATTCGTCTGTAGCCTAAAGGTGGTTATTGTGATAGTGCATATTATTATATTGTATGTTCTGTGAGTATGAAAAACAAATCTTCATATTAGCCTGATTTAGTTACAAGTAAAGTGGTGGAATATTTACAGGCTACCAGGCTACCAAGAATGACAAATAACAAACACATATAATGAACATAGCAGCACCCACTGGCGCCAGTAATCCATCAAAATCATCAGTTTTATCCACACTAATAGAATCAAGTATACTCTGAACAACAAGTGGAATCTGCTTTAAGTCATTCTTGCTATTATTCAATTGACAAATACAACATAAAAAGGATTTTTGGTTTAAATACTGTAGTGGTACTGTAGTACTGTAGCAAAAGTGGAAGCAACAGAAGTCCATTTTTCCACTTTTTAAATTACAGTAATCCTTGAACGAAGTGATAGCCAGATGCATTAAAAAAGTCTGTGAGAAATGCAACAATAAAAGAGGATCAAAATGGACTTTTATAACTGAAATGCTGTAATAAGCATCTCTGCAGGGGTAATGCTTAATTTGAATGATGGGATACCATAAGCTGCTTTTTATGTGTTATGTTAAAAGGGCTAAGACTGACTTGAAAGTAGAATAAACATTTATTTTTGGCCAAAGTTGAGTCATGCTTTGTCTGGCTTACACCTCATTTTGAGGCAGTAGTCTTTAAAATGCTGTCACGTGACTTTTTCAATGTGGTGAGTGGGTGCATCTAAGCAAGCCTCATTAACGCTGTAGTGTTGGTTGGAGCACTGTTTAGCAGCCAAACATGTGGGAAATCTCACTGAAAACTGTTTTAGATAACATTTTACAACACAAATTTATCATTTTCGTATTTCACAGTTTTTAGTGCCTCAAACTTAGGCTTTGGGCCACAGTTAAAAACAACACTAACTATGAAGAAAAGCCAAGAGGGGAGTCAGAGGGTAAGCTGCTTCTGGGAGATCTGGGTTGAATTTTAGTTACTTCAGAAATGTTTGAGAAGATTTTGACATGTTGCGCAAATATTGTGAAACTGAACTATTTTGTGCCACTCAAGCCAAGGCCACACTGAGATACTTTGCCTCTGTTCTGTTGTGCTTGAGAAAGGGCAAAAGCACTTATGCACATTTGTGTATAGTTAGTTAAGGAGCCAGATTTGTGGGTGCATGTATCATCCATCCATCTTCTCTCCCTGTGTTGTTCGCTTAAAATTTAATATAAAGCACATTTGGTCTGATGAAAATGCAATTTCTCTGCATCTTCATGACTTTACTCTCCTGCCTATAGTTCAGCACTTTCAACTCTTTAACCTACAAAGACAGACAAACAGCGCCAGAGGAGACGGTCGGATAGAGCAGCTGGAACACAGACAGACACAGCTCAGTCATTCTGGTGACTCATTCCAGCAGAGGATAAGTAGAGAGAGAGAGATGAACAGCACTTCTCTGGTCTGGGAGGGAGGTGTGTAAGTACAGGGTAGCTGAGAGACGCCAGGAGAGGAGGAAGAGGTTGAGGGTATGTGAATCTGGGGTGGGGGGTGTGCTGCTGTATTCAGCTGATATGGTGACTCACTCATGCTCACTCACTGGCCAAACACATCCGCACGGACGCACATACACACATTATACCAGGGGTCACAGGACCCCCAGTAGATTACACTGCTGTGTTAGTGCCACACACGCACACTCTGCGGTTTCCCAGACTCATCATGTTAATCCCACAGTCATTTGGCTCTTTATTTGCTGTTATTTTTAACTAGCTCCCACTGCTGAATCATTGTGTTTATGAGTCACACCCATGCATCCTCCTGGTCCAAAAATGCACAAGCAGCAGCCCATTTCTTTTACTTTGTTCTCTCTGTTTCTCACTCCATTTTTCTCCCTTACTTTCTTGAACTCAGACAAAGGGACCTTGTGTTTTTTCTGTCTCTGTGTGTGTGTGTGTGTGTGTGTGTGTGTGTGTGTGTGTGTGTCCACACGTGTTCTTGCATGCATATATTTGTGTGTGTGAGTGGGCCTAACCTCAAGCTCTGTTTGGAGACAGTACTGACTCCCCGTCTCTCTCTCTCTCTCTTGCTCTGTCTGTCTGTCTGCCTGCCAGATCCGCCTATGTACTGTGTTCACACACACACACACACACACACACACACACACACACACACACACACACACACACACACACACACACACACACACACACACACACACACACAAGTTTGAATTTCTCAACAGCTCCCAATCCCCTGTAGGACAATACAAAACTAGAAGGAATACTGAAAAATTGTGCACAGCATCCCTCCCCTTCCTCTAATCCCCTTCTTCTCTTACCGACCTACATCCTGGCCAGCTCAGGGTGTTAAAATACAGTATTGTGCAGAGGGTGAAAAGGGAGTGACCAGAAAGAGAGACAGAAAGGGAGGACACAGAGAGGGAGGAGATGGTCTGAGGGAGTCAAAGAGGAAGAGAAAGAGACATAACACATGAGAGCAGCAGGTATTGACTTTTGACATACTTTAGCGGAGAAACTATGGCTCCTTCTCACTCGCCCTGCACACGCATGCACACACACACACGAGCACACACTGGCCCTGCAGCCTGCCAAACATCTGGAGCAAAGTTAGAAAACGCTGAATGAAAGAATCTTTAATAACACTGGATTGGTTGTGCGACCGAGGCCATCAGCCAATCAAAACAGGCCTGGTTGGGTTATCTGTCTCCGAACGGTTATCGAACAGACGCTTTTATTGCCAGTCGTGTTTCATAGCCTGAGCTCAGGACCACACTCTGTTTGCCTCTCAGTTCAACTGTGTGTGTGTGTGTGTGTTTTTTTTTTATCAGGTACAGAGTTTCTGCTTTGATTTTCTGTGGGTCTGTTGTACTCTATGCGGCCCTGTTAAGTATCACCACACCTTTCCACACCATATGCTTTCAGGTCAAGAAAATATTTAGGGCCTCAATAGGATGGTATTAAATACTACCATAATATATAAAAACCAGGCTTCCATTTTATTCTTCTTTTCAGGGTGTGTGTTTGGTTTGGCAACGAAGGTGTGCTTTTCTGCCTCCTCCTCTTTAGCGGAGTAGTTAGTACTCGGTACTGCTTGGAGGTAAATTATACCAAGTGGTATAGTGAGCCAAGATTAACAAATCTGCATGTGCTTAAGTGTTTGTGTTTGTAGATACTGTATACGGTATATTGTCTCAAAACTGCATTGTTCCAAAAGACAGAAACGCTTCTCTTCCTGCCTCACACTCTTCATTTGTCTTGTCTTTTTTTACCCTGCAGTCTCTTTCTGGTTGTGTAAGAGTCTAGACAAGTAGGATCAGGGGTCAGCTCAGTAAACACATGGCTCTTCCCATGAGCTATTGCCTTTTGGGTGGGCTTTGTAAATGGACTCAATTTCCCAGGGCCTCCCTCTCCATGACGCTGCATCAGCACAAGTATGCACACACACTGAGAGGGGCCTCAGTTGTGCCTCACAGCTATCGATGATCAGATGCATTATGCACACAAGTTGCTGAGCCTGCTCACACACACAATATAACCATTTAAATCCCATTAATTTATTTTATAAAAACATAATATCTCTGTCTGTCAAAAAATTTAAAGGGACACTCCAGCGATTATACACTTTGGTTAAGTTGAGAGAATCACAAGAGACAGATTAAAAAACAGAGTGGTCAAAAAATCCTTACAGTTGCCACAGTGCAACTCAGTTTTACCTGTTACTAGACCCACCCTGCCTCGTAAATGTCTTTCAAACTCCAAGTTTGTAGCATAGGCTTTTTGCTTTTTGCGAAAAATTTGAAATTTTAAGCCCGAGCCAAGATCCACTCAGACTTTAGAAAGCTTCAGAGGACATTATCCAAGTTTTGTTACCTCTTTATTGGTGACAACTTGGACAGTGTTCAACTGAGCAATGCAGTACATGACAACTAGCGATGAAAAATCAGTTATGTAAATAAACAGAATGTATATGTATTTATGTACATATATTTACCTTTTCCAGCTTCTCAATTGTGAGGTTTTACTGTTTTTCGCTTGTTGTGTCCTTGGACTTTTGGACCATTTGTCTGAAAAAGTGATTAACTGCATTCAATGAGCAACAGATTAATTAATAATGAAGACAAACACTACAGGATGAAAATGGGAAGAGCCATACAACATAGTACAATAAAACATAATAAATACTTTTTTTTATTTTTTATTTATTTGGCTCCCCATTAGCCACTATTAAGGTAGCCAGGTACCACTCAAGTAAAAAATAACGCAAAACAATGTAAATTAAAATCAAAGACAAAAAAAGGAAACAAGAAAATAACAAATAACAACAACAGTAAATAGAATAGAATGGAATAGAAAGCCTTTATTGTCATTGTCCAAAAAAAGATATAAAATGAAAACTACTAATAACAATAATAATAACATTGACAAGTTCCACAGTTATCCAAAGTAAAAGTAAAACATTTGATACAGCTAAAAAAACAAACAGTAATACGACTAAAAACAGCATACACAGTAACCGAAGACTATCTAAATGTTCAAGGTTATTTTGTTTACTTCTTGTATTTATATGAATCAATTCAATTCAATTTTATTTATATGTGAACACAATAAGAGAAACACCAAACACAACTGATCTGATGTGAGGTGAATAATGAAAAATGTTCATTGTCTTCAGGCTGTTTTAAATGAATGTAATTTCTTTCCATCACCAGCTCAACCAGCAGCCAGGTCCACGCCCATCCAACACACCCAGCCATGTCGGACGCAGCCCAGCAGCCAACTACGCAACGGAGCCCGGCAGCACTCACACACACACTCCTCTCACACGCACTGTTCGCATCACACGCACACGCCGCACACGCATACACTCCAGTCCAACGGGGTCAGGAACGGGGGCCCTCATCCTAAGCTGGGCTCCCTCCCAAGAGGTGGCTCATCCACCTCCTCGTCTTCTTCAGCTGGACCCAAACACACCAAGAAATTGCAGTCCAACCCCTCCATCACCTCCCAGAGCAGCAAGAGGAGCAAGAGCAGCTCCAAGAGCAACAGCTCCCAGATTCCCACAGAGGCACAGGACGGTGAGATATAGATACTGACAGGGGCAGGGGCAGGAGGAGAGGGAGGGATAGGTAGCAAGGTTCAACAAGTTTTTTTCCATTTGTCTAATCAGAGTAGAAGATCAGGTGTACTTTCCTTTGGCATGTTTTCTTTGACCAAAAACCAACAAAAAATTGAACTCTCGGTTCAGTTCAGTACTTTTATCCATTTTGAATTTGCAATAAAATTGCATTTATAAATATTTACCGACTGCAAATGCATGAACTGAAAACTGATTCATCTAAAAACCAAAGGAAAAATTCATCAAGCTAGAAAATATCTATTTATTAACCTTGTCATTCCTGCAATCACTCTGATGAGCAGTCCTCTGTCATGGCATGAGTGGTTGTGTCAACATTTGTGTCTTTAAAGTAGGCAGGTTAGATCCACTGCACTTGAATTGTTGAACTGTTATATGGTGACAGACTCAACAAAGAGGAAAGTGGATATGTGGTAAAGATAACTGACTGATTACTAACGGGCATGTGGTAAGACCAGGAATTTGTTTATTTTACTCCCTATTAAAAACCTAATGTCATAAGTCAGTGTGCTAATGCCATCAGGACATTGGCAGCCCTTAGTCTCTGGCCTGCACTGAAGAAAAATGTTTTCTTGTAAACTAATTATGTCATCATGATTTCTGACCTATCACACTGACTGTAAAGCCAAACTCTGATCAACTCAGTTAGATTTTTTAAGTTCACTTTGCTTCATTGGCATGGTGTGAATATGTTTCTGTCTGCCTTTCCCCTCCAGACTGCTGTGTTCACTGTATTCTGGCCTGTCTCTTCTGTGAGTTCCTGACTCTGTGTAACATCGTGCTGGACTGTGCCACCTGTGGCTCCTGCGCAGGCGATGACTCGTGTTTCTGCTGCTGCTGTGCGTCGGAGGAGTGTGGCGACTGTGACCTGCCCTGTGACATGGACTGTGGCATCATTGACGCCTGCTGTGAGTCTGCAGACTGCCTGGAGATCTGTATGGAGTGCTGCAGCCTTTGCTTCTCCTCCTGAGGCCCCAGCCACCACCCTGGGGGCAAAGTAGATGCCTGCTACTCACTCTCACAAGCCCAGGAACAACTTCAGCCAGCATCTTATCGGAGCTGAGAAGCACTACATGCAGTCTTTGTTGCCTGGGCTCTGTGTTTGACACTATATTGGCTGGCCTAGTTGGCTCCACAATATGTCCAATGTTTCTTACAGGGTTTGCCAAGTAAAAGATGTGACCTAATGCTGAGAGCAGTCACTGGTGAACTCTTCCTTCCTTTATTGATCAAACGATGGGACAGTAACTTCCCCTGCTTTGTCTTTGCTGTTGGTCTATTGCTACACAGCTGGCTGTATGATTTCCAGCTGTGGTCCATGAGAGTTTGCCGGGCTGTGCAGCATCTAGACCCTTACTGAACAAGCTATTATTACAATGGAGCCCCTTGTGCCGTCTGAATGACTGGAGTTCTCCAAGCATGAAAAATGACCTCCAAAGGCAAATGAGAAAATGGCTCCATTTAACCGGATTTTAGTGTTTCTGTAGATAAGAGCAGCAGCATAATGGGAAAGTGGACGCTCAGATCTCAGTAGCAATGTAGTCTGTCCTCCTGTCCTTGGCAAGGTTAAAGTCTTCCAGTCTGATTGCTTACAGTGGCCTTTACAACACACACAGCCCAAGTGGCGGATGTTGAATTCACCGCTGTCTTTATCCTTGTTGCAATGTACAAAATAGAGAAAACAATGGTGGCTTGTGGCAATATTACAGATTTTTTTTTATTTTTTATTTTTTTGCTAAAATGCATCTTACTTAAAGGACTTACTTAGAGAAAAATCGTCAGAGCGTCACGCATCAGCCTGGAGATGGGTCCCATTAAATGAGTACTGTAAGTGATGGACATCACAGAGCGAGTGGTTGATAGCATCTGCAGTGGACATATTCTCTACTCTAACATGTGAAGGGAGAGAGTTCTTAATCAAACATCTCTCCTCGCTTAATGTTTCACATCTTGTTTACTTTTAAATTTTCTCGAGGGGCTTTGACTGTATCCAGTGAATTCCTCCTGGTGTGATTGGTCAGAACTGGTAAAGGACTGGTAGAGGATTGGAAGGCATCATCTCCTTTTTTAATACATTTCATTTTCCTTTTGTCATTCTAGCTATGTGAACAAAAGGCCCTGGCTTAGCTTAAGGCCTGAATTTTCAAGTAGATTCCTCGCCTTTACCAAATCTCTATTAATCCTTGTTTTGTAGATTTTAGTTAAGATATTTGCATTTCTCCTCTAATGTGAAAATCACATTTCTGTGTTATCAGGTTTTGCCGGGCTCTCTGTAAAGCAGACATTGCTCAACATCTAATTTAATTCCTTGAGTGAAAATCTCACAACATTATGCTAAGTTAGATCCATATGCTCGTAGTATGAATGGTACGCTTTTGATAACAGGCCCGCACTCTCATATGCTCAGACACATACCTTCTCCAACCCAATACCTCTTGAGATGTCACCTAGATCTGTTGTGCATTTTAAAATGACTTGATACAAATCTCTCTCCTCTCTGATCAAATACTGTTTGTGCAATCTTTTTTTCTTGGAAATACCAAAGAGTTTTCCTCTTACTGGACCTTAGTTTCTAGACCTATAATTACTTGTACATAGAAGGGTTTTTGCCCTGCTAATATGGCTGCGGTTGATTAAACCCTATTTTAAGGGCTGATATCTAACACTGTTGATGAATATACACTACGGCTGTAATCAGCCTGATAACACAGAAGCAGAGTATGCAAGTTTTGGGAATTCAGCTAATTAGATAATATGACTCCTCGTGTCTGTTTATATCAGATTGGATATGTTTCATATTTTGGAACTAAACTGAAACAGATTCCTGGAAAGCCCTGGAAAACAATGCAATTCTTTACAGAACTGAGAGATTTATGAAGGGAAAACTGGATTTTATACTGTTACGTATAGAAATTATAATAATGTCACTTTGTTTGAGTTACAAGACATTCTAAGTGCAGATTCTGATGATGATGCTTCATCTAGGGACATGCTTTCTGTCACCAGACCAACCTTGTCAAAAAAAAAAAAATAGGCCTACGTTGTGATAAATATCTGTGGTGTGTACGGGGTTAACCCATTTGAGTTTGAAACAAAATTAATACTGCTTTCTTAACAACACTGGTTTGTTAACAACAATCATTGCCAATAATAAAAATGGTTTCATACCACTGGAATACAGTTTGTACATTTACATAGCTACAGAGCCAACAAGCCAATATTAGCATAACTGGTCTCCAATGTTGACAATGGCACGGTTACTCTGCCAGTGTTAAAATAAACAGTTCACCTTGCTAACATGCAAGTTACTTGGTTAAGCAAGCAATAATATAAATACATATTATATGTTTCCTACTGGCTCATTTTACTGCTAAAACAATAGGTTCACTGTTTTTAATCCAACCCAGTTGACATGTTGTTTCCTATCACTTATGACCACAACCTCTCTCCAGCTCAAGTTTCAAGATTCTTACCACTCTGCTGTAGCCTCTCACTAGGCTCAAACACAGATTTGATTTGATTTTGCTCAAATTCCTGCTGTAGCTGGAAAAATAAAACCTACCTGTAATACAAAGCATGGCTTTGCAACTCTCTCTTTATTTTTTTTTTACCAGTAGATCATTTAAACATGTCTGGCCCTCCTGTGAGGTTCCTATTTTCCAAAAGTAACTTCACCAAGAGGTAAAAATTCTCCTTTTGGACTGTAAAGTGCAGTGAGAATGTGCAGTGGAGTGGTTAGGCTGTCAATACTAAAGCTAGGTTGTGCTATGCGACATAAATCATGTGAAACAACATTTTAATAAGGTCTGGCTTGAAAAACAGTGAACACATCATTTAAATTTAATTTAATGGTATTGGAATAATTTTTTATGACTTAGTCATTAAATACTATTTTATGTCTATACTGAGAAGTGCTGCACAAGTCATGGAGAACGCAGGCAGTCTGGAGGAATAGAAAACACTGATTGGTTGGTCTGGAGATAGAAGACACTGTCTAGACATAGAAAGACATAGAATCCCCAGATGAACACTGGTCTTGCGCTTCGATTGTTTTCTGGATTTTAGAGATGATTTGGTGATGTGGATTTGATGTTGTGTTTGTACCAGGCAGGCCATCATCTCATTTCCAAGTACGTCTCATGTATTCAGTCAAGGTATCACAGTAATACTGGAAGAAAACATAAGTTTACGTTTAGTATTATCTCAGTATTATCAGTATTTTTGTTAGAATTACCTTGACCACAGACATTTCAAACCGTTGACTTTTGTAGATTTATTATCTTATTATGAGATGGAACTTGGATATTGATTTAAAGGGCTGGTCACCTCTGCCTGTAGTCTGAAAGTTATCCTAGCCCAGCTGAATTTTTACTAGACTGTAGTCCACTATAATGTCATTTTGTTTACACTACCCCCATTTAATGTCAATTTGAATTGCAGTCCTGGAAGTCACATTAAAATCTCTTTGTTTAATACTGAATAAACAATGTGAAATCCAGGCTACATGCATCATTCTGTCTTTTTTTTCACACAAGCTCCAAGCTTATTACATTATGGTTACATAAATGCTCCTGTTGTACTGTAGTCTAGTCTGTAATAAAACTATATGCAGCATTCCTATGAAATGACTCTAATGACAATATACAATTATTCATATTCTTCATCACCTCAACAGTGTACAATGCATGTCACAGAAACACAGACAGGTAAGGTGCCATGCTCCCAGGTGAGCTCTGATGTCACAAAGACACAGACAGGTGAAGTGCAGAAGGTGGGCAAAAGGTGAGCTTTTTAAAAAAATATATAATTCAAAGATCAGTTTGAGCATCAGTGTGGCTCTGTCATGAAACTCTTGAGCTGTGTCGCCTACATGAACAAAATGAAAGGACAGAGCTACAGACTCTCAGGTGAGATATGAAAATGGCTCACGGCAGAGAGTTGGTTCAAACAGAGCAGCGAACCACATACAGGGTTTTATACATTACATACATACATTACTTTCTTGTTACATTTTCTTGAAAATCTATCACATCAAGATTTCTATTAATTAAAGTTGAATTTAATTTTTTTTTTAAATCTGTTAAAAAAATCACACTCAGGTAATATCAGCAAACACATATTCAATTCAAGTAAACTTTCTGCACAGTCAGGCTCTTTATGTGAGTGCATGAAATGTCAACTACCGAAGATAAAACCAAACCTACACCCTTACTGACATTTTGAGATGCAGCTTAAACTATATTTAAACATGTGACCTCTCTACCTGCGCTGTGATTTTTGTGGAAAGCTAAATGTATCCACTACAAACAAAGAGAGAACACACTATCTGCAAAGCAGTAAAGCATCACTACTCATCATCACTTTCTTTTCAAATTCCTCTCACTTTCTTTGTTTTCTGTGCACAGAAATTTTAATTTACTTACAGTTCCAATGGTGAGCTGGAGAGATCAGTTTTCATGGCTACTTGTCCCTTCTTTACCCTCATATATGACAGCTGTTTTGCAGTTGATTTAAAGATGGATAAAATTTCTTTAACTATAGAAGAGTCTCACTCCATCTCATGCGAGAATTCATTCTTCAAAGTAAGCAAACTTTATCCAGCACTAGTCTTAATTAAATTTTTAGCAATGTGGTCTAATAAAGGAAATATGCTCTACACTGTAATACAAACTGTGTCATTTTGCTGTCATTACTAGTCCTATCTTATAAAACAGTGATTCCTACATGTATCATTGTATTATCATGCTGATCTTTAATTTAGCTATGCTAAGCTAGGGGCTAGGTCTAGTACAACAGGCTTATTGCAAAATGATAAATGAGTTAATTCAAACACATTTTACACCACGTTATGATTTAGGGTGCAACACAACTAGTCAGCAAGCAGTTAGAAGAGAAGTTTAAATAGATAGTTAAAGGTAAGGGATCAAAAGTATCAATATTTAGCTAAATGCAGGTATGCGTGGATTAGCATTAGCATTTGAAATAGTTCGCTAAAAGCAATAAATAAACCACTTACCACTCCAAGTAGTATGAATGCAAACTTGACCAAAACAAACTAAAGTTCAGTTCAATAGTATGAAAAATAATTGTAACAATATCCATTACAATTAGGCCTAATAGTGCTAATAACATCTATCATCCTATCAAACAAACATATTTGGAAGGTTACAGGTGATGTCCAGGGGTATTTGAGCTCATCTCAGGACCATGAGGGTGCGTCAAACAAAAAGGTTGGGAACTGAAAACAAACTAAACAACATATCAACATGAGGATGAACGGGGATAAAATGTTGCTGAAGCAGCCATTAGTGTGTATGTCCAACATGTGCAGTGTAGAAGCAGGGCACCTACAGTGGCCTATATAAGGGTAATTTTCTACCATTTTTAACAGTGTTGTTGCTCATCTTTTCCCTGCTGTGTTTTATTATTTCTCCATTAATATACTGTCATAATCATCTTTTGCATCTGCAGATTTTCCCATAGCTAAGCCCCATCAGTTTAGCTGTCTCTGAGCTGAGAGCAGAGAAAACGGGGAAAAAAAGAGAGAAAACAGAGCAACAACTGGGCTCATGCAGAACAGAGCCCTTTAATGTGTTTTTTTAAAGGCTTGCCAAAGTCGTTCAGTAGGAATGTGTGTTCAGGCCAATACATCAATGTGTGGAGAGATGCAGGGGACTTTTACTGTTTAAGATTTGCTTCTTCTTCTTCTGCCTTAATCTCTCCTCGCTCTTCTTTTGATTTCTGCGTTTTATCTTCATAGCACTTTTGTCTCGTGAAAACAATTCCTGTCAACTCCAGTATTTGTGTGTGTGTGCCGTCCACTGGGTTTGAAATGATGTTGGCCAGCCTCTGTTTCGTGTAGACTGTCCGTAGAGTTCACTGATAAGAGGATCACACTTTGGCCCAGAGGCATGTGCCTGTAAAAAAGTCAGCTACTGTATGTTTGTGTGTGTGTGTGTGTATGTGTGTGTGTGTATCTAGATCTGCATCTAGTGTCTGTGAGAGAGAGGGAAGAAAAAAGTGTGTATGAGGGAGGCTGATTCAAATGAGTCAGGTTAGACAGAGAGGCAATTCAAGCTCCTCAGTGGGAGTAGAGAGACAGAGGACATCTCTGGACATCTGCAACTGTTTTGCAGGAAGCCATGCTACAGTCGACCCTCATTTCCTTTTCCATGTACACACATGCACACGAAAACACATGCACAAACTCAACAAATCAAAAATGATGCACACCCACAAAGCAGGCACAAAGCAGGCACAGGGGACAAGTGGCTATTGAATATTAACCATGAAATTACAAAGGCTGCATTCTAATGGAGGTGATGAGGTCAGAAGCTCGGATGGAAATCATAAATTAATACCCCTGACATGACAAGCCACTCGCCCTTGGCTCCCACCAAACACAGCACTCCCCTCCTCCACTGAAGTCACAAAGACACCAAGAAAAGGAAATACTCAATTTTATTATAAATACTGGGTCAAAGGAATGCCACAACAGACACAGAACTCATACAATATGCCTGATACTTTTCTGATGTGGCTATTGTATGAGAGGACAACCTTCATGTGGGGCTACATCCATAGGGGTTATTGTTAAAGTGTTCTTAAGAGACCTCTATTACAATGTCAACTATTTTGCATCCTTTGTAATCCATTCAAATCTGTGCCTTTCATCAATGCTTTTGCAATATATATTTGACAATTCTGATACAGAGAAAAGAACACTACGTCCTATTGAATATGACTCTACCGGATTCTTTCACCCAGCGACTCTCAAACAATGGCCTTCAGATTAACTCATTTGCACTCAAGTACATATGAAACTCATGAAAACCCATTTCATTTGTCTCAAAGTTGGGGTCCTGCGGTCCAAAGTCATATTCAAACATGTTAGATTACAAATCTCATTCATCATACTTCAACGATACATTCACTATTTGATTGTTTTTTTTTTTTTGTCATGCACATAAAAGTGTCCAGCCCACATGAGTTCATGACACACGACATAACATAAAATATAAAAACATAAAATATATATGAATTATTACACAAATAATAAAAATAAATAAAAATCTGTAGAGAGCGAGGACATCATGAACAGTGAACATTTCTTAAACCTTCATAATGAACAGTGAAGCATAAAATGGATTTTGTTTTCAGTCTCATCAAACGAACATGGCAAAATCTTTTCGCTCAGGGATACTGTTACCTGTTTCTGTGGCTCATGCCTGCACATTCATGCACATAGATTTCTTTAAAAGCTGATTACCTTTTGGTTTGGTTTTAAAGAAATTGTTTTTAGGACAATATTTATGTTTAGTTCAGGTTTACGGCATACAGTCCATCAACAGATCATCTTTATACACTTAAGACTGAATCACACAACCTGGAAATCACATCATTTACACTGGTTTCAAACATAGAGACACAACACATTCCAGCACTGGAATAACATATTTATACGACACCTCCGCTCCTTCGTTGTCACATTCACCGTCAGCTCCTGGCTCACATGTACAGTATACAGTATGTGTGGCCCTGAACCACAGTTATTTTAATAAGACTTTGGTTAGAAAGGGGGCCATAACTTAATTGGCCATTAAAAATACAAAAAGTAGTATTGGTAGTAGTATTATTACTAGGTATTGAATATCCACTTGAAATCAGCTTGACTTTTAAGCCTAGGGTTCGAATGCTGTTCTTTTAATCACCATATGTCGACCAAAGTCGTAAACGGTCACTTGGTAATTGCGCAAAGCACCCTGTGACATCGTGCCACATCCTGTTGACCGTGCTTTTAAGGTCAGAATTAAGACAGCTCCGTCCAAATTTCAGAAACACAGACAGATACGCCAAGAGTGCCAGTAAATAACTCTGGATAAGAACTAGAAAAAAATTAATACCACTTCTGGCTGTAAATCAGAGGGAGGAGAGCTCTATTGGGGCAGCTGTGTGAGTCAGTGGCGCTAGTGCCAGCCAGTCCCTACAAAGAAACATCTTTTCCTCCTACATGAGAGTGAGAGTGGATGCAGAGAGTGGGGGTCAGAGACACAGAAAGAAAGAGAAAGAGAAAGAGCTTATTAGAGAGAAACGAATTATTACGAAAGTTACATTGGCATCACAATGTACTATATACTGTAATTTTGTACTATATACTGTATTTTTTGGACTGGAGTTGTAGAGATTGACTGGTGTTCAGATATTTTCAGCCCTACTCTCCTGAAGCACTGAGAAAAAAAACCTCTACATTACAATATGATTTAGAGCCAACGAAATACTAAATCAAAGACAAGTCTAGAGCAACAAATCTACTTCATTAAAGGGCATATAACCATCTTTCATAAAATGGCACACTGTGTTCATTAGATGCTGATTACATGTTCTCCTCTTTAACACTGCGCTGCAGTGTTTTACAACAAGTTGAACTGAACCAAAATCATGGCAAGCAGACAAGCTTGGATCAGCAACAAAAATGTGTGTGTACTGTATCGAGTTACT